CCTTTTCTTTTTCTTTCTTTTTTCTTTTCCTTCTTTATTTTATTATAAGTTATTTTTTATGTAAAGATATAATGTAATATGTCAACCTTAGTTATATTGTTCTGTATAAAATATTAATAAAATCGAATAATTAAAAAAAAAAAGGTCAGATAATTTGGGGTTGATTTACTAAAGACAAATAGGTTGTTCGCTTTTCAAGTGAATGTGCACTTTGCAAGGGATGTTTGTCCTTAGTTTAACGAATAAGGTGAAGTTCTGCTGACTTACATTGTCCGATCAAAGCACATCAAGCAAAAATACTGTTTTTCGTATTTTCCTTGCACATGATTGGATATTCTTTGCAAAGTGAAATTTCACTACATTCACCAAGCTAAAGGGAAACTTCCCCTGCAAAGTGCAAATCCTATTGCAAAATGATTAGCCTATTTGCCTTTAGTAAATCAACCCATTTGTTTCTGAACAAATGGGATCTTCTTAACTCAGGTTTTTTTTTTAAATCACAGAGGGCAACCATAAGTATATTTCCTAGCTATATATTTTGTGTCTGATGAAACTTCCTGTTTAACCTGATGGCATTCCAAAAGGACTTAGAGAAGGTTGCAAGGAAATAGGAGGAAACCTTCCAGATTGTATCACTGTACTCATTCTCACAAGGAAATAACTAAAATATAGGGAATTCCTCCTTGGCCAAATTGGACAGATCCTCATTGAATCTTAGATCTGGAGAATCAATTAAATTACATTTGCCATCTACTTTAGAACACAAATATTCCCAAAATGTTAGTATATGCAAAATACAGTCTATAGACATTATGTGAAAAAATAAAATTAGATAGTTGTTAGTTGTAAGCAGTAAAATAATGTTATATGTACATGGATATTAAATACTTGATTTGTTCATTGCATTACCATGGAAACTAAACATTGTATACCCGCTTGTTTCTGTTTTCATTACCAAGCACACTTTTCCTATTATATCTATGATGAAAAAAAGAAAAACATTTTCTTTAAATTGAATAACAGGAAGTAGCTTCAACTAAACAGACCCCACGATAAAATGTTAATGTTCTGCATCCCATCCACCTTCCACTATCTCTATCAACCATTTTGTGAAGCACCTTTTAGTGAATGCATTGACTCTAAAAGGTGTGATACCCCCGTCACCCTGGCATTCATTTCAGCATAAAGTGTGCCTCACTGACAGGTGCTATCTCCATGTAGCAATGTTTCTTTCCATTCCCAACAGCCTGAAGTCCTTTTATCCAGCAAGGTTCTAAATAACAAATGCCCTCCTGTGGAAGAAGTAAAGTGTATGTCATGCACACGATTAAAAATATAGCCTAGTATGACTAGCTCAGGTGTCTGTGTTTTGTGTGACTAATATCTAACTTTATACTCAGGTCTTGCCTCGACAAACCTGTGGCTTATTTACACACACCATCTTCTATAAAGAGTATCCTGGTGGACCCACTGAATTGGACAAAAGTATTCGAGGAGGAGAGCTCTTTATGACAGTGCTGCTGAATCCTGTAAGTGATTGAATATCAGTAGCTTGCTGTATGTATTCTTTAATATAGTGTCGTTCCACGTGTTTGAAAATTAAAAACTACAGCGACATCCAATTCTGAGTGTCACCTGTGATATATACAGCTTCATTTCTTTTTTGACCATGATGATTAATTGACTTCACAAAAAAGTTGTCTTTATGTTCATAATAGGGAGGACCGTAATGATTGACAAAGCTGATTTTGCTGCTAAATTAGAAGTTATGCCACAAAATTTCTCTAAAGCAGAAACTCCTTGATACACCCGAAGTAACCCCACATACTCTAAATAAAGAAAATGCTTTATTTAGAGTATGTGGGGTTCCTTTGGGTGTAATAAAAGTAGTTTAATCTTTTTGTATTTTCTAGTATTTTTCCCTTAGCATTTTTCTGTTATTGCGGGTGCTTGACGTTTTAAATGTTTTATTTTCACTGCATTTTTTTTTTCTTTCTGTGGAAAAAAAATCAAACTAATGGGGTTAATGAGGGCCAATTGTTGGGTACAAAAATAGTTGAAGGCTAGTTGAAAAAAGCATCTGTAAGCCTCGGGACCCATTTAAAGTCTATTGTAGACATCCTTAATTTCTCCTTCCTCACTGATTTAAATGCATTTTACCAAAATGGTGACATTTCACGAAAATTTCTGGATTAATGCTGAAATTTCTGGGACAACTCTCAATTTCACTCATACTTTGTTACATGCACATATAATTAAGTCAGTTAAGCTTAATGTCTGGGAAGATAAATTAGCCACAATAAATACATTGATCAATATAACCTAGGGGGCATCATTATTTCTCAGAGTTACTGATAATTGTACACAGCATGCAATTCATATTTTGCTAGTTTTGTTAACCTCTCTATCCTAAACAAAGCAATGTTTTGGGTAAAGTTAAACATAATTAAGCAATTTTCAGATATTTTTCCTTATTGGCTTTCTTGGCAACTTTGTTCTGTTCTAGGTGTGAAATAGTTGGTTATACAGGCTTTTTAAGTAAAAACTTGGTAAATTAGTGTAAAAATGCATGTATATGTGTTTAGTTTGTAATATTTTTAAATACTCTAAAGCAGTATTTAAATACTCTAAATATTTTTAAATACTCTTTAATACTTTTAATACTTTTTAAATACTTTTTAACAATAATTCCTAAAGTAGCTCTGCCTTTGCCCGTGCAGGGCAAAGGAATAGGATCACATACTTTTCTTCATTCCCACTTTGCTACATTCATCCGCTAATGATGATTGGCCTAGAGCTAATACATCGGGGTGGGGAAAGATTCCTCAGCCCAGTGGAAGCTCTGGCATGTCAGCTTGAAGCTTACACAGGGCTTTTTTCCTTGCTCCTATTAACCAAACAGAGCAGCAGGAGAGCAAAGAAAAGAAAAGCATATGCTACGGGGGCAGAGGGAACATAAAAAACATATTTTCAATTTAAAAAAAATGCAGGTAAAAGAAAAGTCACCTCCACAGCCAGCTCTCTCCCTCCTTGCATGTCATAGCCCTCTCCTTTTCTGGGAGTGTCTGATTACTGTCCATATTGGAACTGTTCCTCCAACAATCCCCTCACCTCCCTACATAACCTTTTATGTAGCTCCTGGGGAAGAAGCAAAGGGGAATACTTTCTAGTGTCACTTGAGTGACAGCTCTGAGTCTGCTGTGCTAAAGCAGCTGACATCACGTCCAAAATGGCAGTGCCCAGCAGAAGTCTAAGGTCTTTTGGATGTCAATACAATGGAGGCTTTTATGTGGAAATAACTTGTATAAAATACAGTAAATGCAGATATAATCTAAGGAATGATTTTTGTTGTAATAGGTGAACTTGTATCAGGTTCTCTTTAAACAACCCGTTTGCTCTGTCCTGCTTGTGATAAGAACAGGATTACTTAGATGCAACAAGTATTTAGGCTAAAAAAGAAATCTATTGGACCTGAGGAGATTTAAAGTGACACTAAACTCAGGAGTTAAATCTTACATTTTTGCAGTTAAGTAACAGTTACATATCTTGTCTCTTCCATTAACTGTGACCGGACAGTGTAAAGAGATGCAGAAGACGTGCTCATTGCACTGCAGCACCACTTTTTTGGCTCCTTGTGTTGCCTTTTCCTCTCCCAGTTTGAGCTTTGCTGTACAAGGAATTGCAAGTGGCTGATACCAAGTCAAATGCAGTTACTTACACAGCTTGCATTTAATAAATAATACATTTCATTATGTATTAGTGAGTATAAAGCTGCATTCATTTGAATACTTTATAACTGGCTTGAGTTCAGCTTTAACTTCCAATAAAAGAGTTATAGCAGCCCTAGCAATGAAACATAATAAAGTGTAAATTAAGAAATTCAGGTCAGTTTAATCCATATTGATCTGAGATGCTTACATTAAAAATTATTTCACTTTTGTTCTTCTTCATGGAAAATTGTTTAGTTAAACATCTAGTATAATTATCAGGGTAACTTTTTTTTAAAAAGATCACTAGTTATTTTTGGAAATTAAATCACCTTTTTCATGTGCCAAGGCTGCTGGTCATATTTTAACATACCTTTTAATACCCCACTGTGGCCCTGGATCTTTGTGTGTTTTTAGTGTAATTCCAAAGAGCAAGAAATATAATTTCAATCATGCATGAGATGAAATAGCATTCTGTATCGCCTACCATCATTCAGCTGGAGCAGTGTCTGGTGAAATGTGCCTGGACTCACAATCTCAAGCAGCGAGACAAGAGAAAACTGATTCATTACAAATAAGTGTCACATTTATATTCCCTCCTGGATAATTTACTACGGTATAGTTGCAGCATCATGTTTTGTTCAATAGGTAACGCAAATAAAAAAAATACACTGAACTAAACACAATACAACTGTAGAAAAGAAAACACTAATGAAGATTTTTACAATTGTGCATCTACTAAGCATTTACTATTAAACATGCGTGGTTATCATTCCATTGTAAAATAAAAGCAGTATATTGTAAATGCATTTGAAATGGTTCACTCTAGATGTGCATGGTCAAAATGCCTGGCCTACAGGAAATATATTAGGGTTCATTTAAGAAAAGAGTAGAGAATGTTCACCTATCAAAGCGAATAAGCGGAATACCGCAAGGCACGAACATGCTAAAATCTTTACATCTGCATGGATTCCGCTAGTTTGTGGCTATTACTACAGGAACAAACAAGTAGAATCTGCCCCTGAAATCGCGCTTGAACTATTTTGCTTGAAGTGCGGTCCCCGCAATAGTCTGAACCACTAACATTAAAATGCATTGTTTCTTTTGTTTGTGTTCCGTCCATACCAATACACGTGGACAACGCTCCTATGTGGATGGAGCCTAATAGGGGTTTTACTTGTCTCCACTACATCCAAAAGTAAAAGAAAATGTTTGGCTCTTCACTTTGCCTTATCAAATGCAGGTGAGGGTGTATCCTCCAGCGGGGACACCAGTTTTTATAACAACTATCTAAAATGGGAATTCCTTTTAACTTTGGAGAAAAAAAAGGTTATCTTCATGTTGTATATCCAGGACAGGAAGTGAAAGTAAATCTCCACAGTGGGACACATGAAGCAAAACAATTACCTGTGTGGGTTTTAACCCTTTCTTGATCTATAGAAAACTAGTTTTGCCTTTAAATTGACTTTAAGCTAATGGAATAATTACTTGGCAAAGTAGTAATCACCTGCTCCTTTACTAAAACAGTGTTTATGCATTTCAGCTTGAGCTACTGAGCTCTGTAAACAAGGAGCTATCTCTAGCAAAACAGCTAAAGATAGTATGAAAAAGGAGTAAAGGGACCTAGATCTGCTGAATAGAAATTAAAATACAAAATATTCACATGTAATATTTCACTTTTACCTAAAAAAAATAATAATATATATATATTGAAACTTTTAACCTAAACACAACAATAAAGAAAATAATGCAAAACCATGATACAATCTTTTTTTTTTAAAGTGTGCCTTAAAGGAGAACTATGAGGTGAGTGATGTTCTAGCCGACCTGTGACAATGAGACTGTCACAGGTCGGCTCAGTAGATTGGGAGGTGAGCGAACACATACCGGCGTTCGTTCACCTCTCGATCCTGTCACGGCTCTCTGCCGTGCGCTGACTGGTGGAACGGACGGAGGAGGAACGGACGGGGGAGTGGGCGGGTACAGCTGGCTCTGCCTTTTACATAGGCAGAGCCAGCTGTCAGTCACGCAGGTGGGCAGATACCGGCACAATTGTCGGGGATCCGTTTCAGCTGCGGCGTCTCAGTATATCGCAAGCAGCTGCTCGCGGTATACTGCGGCGTCTCAGTATACCGCAAGCTACAGCTCACGGTATACTGAGCCTAGGGTGACGGGAGGATACTAGTTTGTGTCCTCCCGTTACCCTAAGGAGAACTATGGGGAAAAGACGTAACCCCATAGTTCTCCTTTAAAGCAGACACCATACAATCCTTCATGTTTATTCTGTGAACCTCTATGATTTACTTTGTTTTTGTTTTTAAGTTTGTTTCTTGGGCCAAACTTTCCCTGATTTAATGGCTAAATCCTGACAACTGACATCTATTTGTCAAATGAGTAACTGTCATTGAAAAAAATGACAGGGAAATGGCAACTAGTGGAGCTTAGCCTTGGAGTCAGGGAGAGATAGACCTTGGTAGCCAGCTCTTTAGCTGTGAAGCTAAATCAGAGAAGGGCTAATTTAAAGAGACTTATACTGTATCTATGATCAAAACGCAAAATCATAAAGTCATTTCCACATTGTTTTCCATTAGTTCTAGCCTACTTCTATTAATCAAAGCAATCTTGAAGTTTGTAAACATACTTTGTAAAAAATTCCACAGGATTTACTACCTTTAGTGCAATGACATACATTCACAATGCCTTATGAATATGCACTACAGTGTCACCCATTTCACAGACCCTGCTGTCTAAACTACAGAGGTGCTAATGAGGAGGAGATTCAGGAGGCACAGTTACATCATCACTGCTTGCAGGCAGCAAGG